AGACAGGACAATTTTGTTGAAGCATGTACTGTTTGTTTGCCATGGATGCTGTTGACAGATAGCGCACATGTAACATTGATGTAGCAAGGGGCCAGACATCAACATGTCTAGCTGCTTGATTGCTCAATGCTGGCAAAGTTGCCTGGCTTTCTTTCTGTGCTAAAAGGGAAGAAAGTGATGCTGTGTACTTATGAGTTCTGAATGAAGCAGCAATGTGCTGAGTGGCAAGGCAGAGATGTTGTGAGGGTTCACATAAGTGCAAAGTGAGTGAATAGTAAAGGCCCTGAGATACATCCTGTTCAGATGCATGAGACTGATGTGTGTTCTTCACACAGACAGACTAGGCAGGAGCATTTCAATGTCACGTGTTGATGAGCTCCTGTATTGAGGTGCTGAAGTGTCTTCCGACTTAGTCCAAGCTTGACCATGATAATTGGTGAGGTTGGTGTTTTGCCAATACCAACTTTCATAGATAAAAGATGGAGACAGTTGCTGCCATGGAGTAAGCCAATGACCGGTTAGGAAATGATGGTCAGCGTGGAAGCCTGGAGAAGAAAGTTTCACCTGCCAGGTAACCACTCAGACTTTTAAGGCAAGAATTGGTGCTGTTCAGTTTCTCACCAATACCCAAGGGAATTACACACTGCATTCTAAATAAGGTGAGATTAGCTGATGGGATGCTAATGCACAGTAGTACAGTTGCCATTGTTTACTAGCAAGATTCTCATTTAGTGACTGAAAGCTCATGGAGAAAATGTGACCTTTTTTCTTCAAATAGAGAATCTATTTTTCCATTCTTGCTGTATTCTCCCAAATTTCCCACAGCACTCAAGGCTGGGAAAATTCTATTGAATAATTTGGCTGCTTGTCCAACATTCTGTCTTGAATTTTTTTCACTCCCAATGACTAGACCGTGGCCACCTCAGGCTTAGCACAGTAGTTTGCAATGTTGACTTCCTACTGAATCCTGATCTGAATTCTGACTATTATTATCTAGTTCCCTCGTGATAAAACTATATTCCTTTATTTTTATTCACTTGGAGGATGGACCACATTTATTGCCTGTCCCTAACTGCTCTTGAGAAGGTGAGCTGCTTTCTTGAACCATTGCAGTGCTGTAGATAGATCTATAATGTCATAAGGGATGGAATCCCAGGAAGTTTAATTTTGACCCTACTTCTGAAACATCTTTGCCTTTGTCACCTTCAGACGGAGCTATTTCAATGCTCTCCTAATTGGTTTCTCACGCTTCATAAACTTCAATTCATATAAACTCTGCAGGATTCAGGCAACACTGAGTCTTGCTCACCTATCATCCCTGCCCTCACCCATGAATTTAAATCCCTTTGAATCGCTTACATGGAGTCGTTTTACAAGCGAGTTAAGCCCAACTGAAATTCTTATGCTACAGTTTGTACACCCATTCTGCTGTCTATGAGAAGTGTGTGAGAGAAAAATGCTGATTTTTATTTAAACCACAATGAATATCGTAACATTCGCGAAAACAAAGCAAAATTTTACTGATGGACAAAGATGCTCTTTATTAATATGACAATTACAACAAAGAAACCCTGGGGTCAGTTTTATTATAATAATAGGCCCATTCATAAATAAACGTATTTGAGCAATTCCACCAGTATAGTGTGAAATAGTGGGATTGTATCCCGTGATTCCCACTGTTTCTTAACTAATACTATCATTTCTTCTGGCAACAATCTTGATATAATTTCCCGGACTTCATGAAAAAGTGCTCCTTTTAGTATTTAAAAAAACTGAACGTCCACAGCAACTTTTTGTAATATACGTAAATGTCCTTGGAAGTTTAATTCAGAAAAGAATCAGCAAACTAAGACAGAAGGAATTAAGTGGTTTGACCAAAAGCTTAAGCAGTGGTTTTCTTTCATATGTTGTTTGTAATGAGGAAAGAGAAGTGATGAGGATTAGGTTGAAATTGTCACATGTAGGGGCCTAGATATCAGAAGACACAGTCCCCAGTAGAAGCACAATGAGGGAGGAGAATACACAAGCAGACTGAGGATAAGGGATGAGAAGGGATCTACTTGAGGCCATTAATATAAGATAATTACTAAGAAATCACATAAGGAATTCAGAAGAAACTTCTTCATCTAAAAAGTGATGAGAATGTGGAACTCTACAGCACAGACAGTGGTTAAAGCAAACAGTATAGATACATTGAATAGGATGAAAGATACACGAACATATTCAAATAAAACAAAATACTGGTGATGCTGGAAAAAAAATTTGAGACAAACACAGAGAATGCTGGAGGAACTCAGTTCTCATGAAGTCATTCCAGTCTCAAAATGTTAACTTCATTTCTTTCCACAGGTGTTGCCAGGACTGCTGATCTTGCTTTAACGTTTGTAAGTCCACCTGGAAGGTATTGAATATTTCCACCTCCTAATGAAAGGCTGTGACTTGTTACTGATCAAGATGGATATGGTTCCTCTGGGGGAGACACTGAACACATCAAGAGACTTCACCAGAAACACTCAGAGGTGAAGTGAAGAAGAGAGCACAGAAACCTCCAATCAATTCATCAACGCATCCCTTCATGCATTACCTGCCCCAAATCGAGCAAATGAACCATTTCAGAACCCATCAAATTGGCATGGAAGCAAATCATCCTCAATTCCAACACAGTGCCTCCGAAAAAGAGGGTTAATTGTCTGCATCACAAGAAGGGTGGATCATTACCTAAGGACTTCTTGTTATTCATCAGAGGAACATGAGCATCACTGCACAGGAAAACAGATTGCTTTCCCTAAAGGGCATTCATCAACCAGCCCAGATGGGTCTTCAACGATAATAATCATAGTCACTATTCTATTCCAGATTTGGTGAATTGAATTTGAACACCACTGGCTACTGCAGTGGGATTTAAACCCATAACTCCAGACCATCAGCTGAAGCTTCTGGATGACCAGTCCAGTGATATCACCACAATGCCATAGGCTCCCCCATAAGATTTGTTGCAGAAGGCAGATGGCCTGAAATGAAGCCTTTGAATAGCTCCACTCACCAAGACAGAGAAGACTGTCTCTGGGAGGAGCCAGGGAATATTTATCTGTTGTTGTTCCAGACTGTTAGTCTTACCCCTCCTGAGAACAACATAGATTGGCCTAGTATTTTTAGGAGATAGAACATAGAACAGTACAGCACAGTACAGGCCCTTTGGCCCATGATGTTGTGCCGAACTTTTACCCGAAACCTAAGTTCTTTCTAACCTCCACTGCACAGATACCAACGTCTTTTAGCAAATGAAATAAAATTAAGCCTTACTCCACTTTAACTTATTATCTTGCTACTATGAAATAGACTACTTGTTGTTACTTAAGCATGTGCCTCTTTTGTCAAATTAGTGGTTAGTCCTGCACTACCTGATACTATGAAGTGCCGTGAACTGGTATTACAAGGAGAATTGGTAGCAGCATGTCTATCCAGAGAAGATCCCAGTAGGAACAGGCATCAACTGTAAGCATCTCTTAAGTCAAGCCTCCATCGTCCAAAATCTTCAATTATGCTAGTTAGGCCACAGTTGGAGTACTGTGTGTAGTCTTGGTTGCCAAATAATAGGAAGGATGTGATTAAACTGGTGAGAATGCAGAGGAGATTCATCAGGATGTTGCCTGGGCTGGGATGATTCAGCTATGAATAGAGACTGGATAGACTGAGATGGTGTTCCTTAGAGCAGAAAAGCCTGAGGGGTGTGATTGAGGCGTACAAGCTTCACAGGTGAATAGACAGATCAATAAGGAGAAACTTTACACCTTAGTAGAGAGGTCAATAACCAGGGGGCACTGTTCTAAGGTAAGGAGCTGAGGGTTTACTGGCCATTTGAGGAAAGCAAATTTCACCGAGAGAGAGGTGGATATCTGGAATTCAGTGCCTAAAATGCCACAAGATATTTAAGTATTTTGACAAACACTTGAAACGCTATAACATACAAGGCTACAGTATGCTGGAAAATAAGATTAGAATAGATGGATGTTTGACGATCAGTGTGGACACAATAGACTGAAAGGCCTCTTTTAGTGTTGTAACAACTCTCTAACTCCTATCCTCTCTGAAGAATCTTCAGAAGTCAACACAGTTGAAGACTAGCAGCGAACACTGCCAAGAAAATCAGCAGTACGACCCACTCCGTTCCATTTACTGAGGAATCATGAACTGAAGTCATTCAGACAGCAAAACCGTCTGCAGGATGAATTATTACAGCAGGTCTGAGTTTGATGCCAGGCTGTGAGATGACACAAACTCAAGAGGAGCACTTCAATTCTTTTATAAAACAAAGGAATGTGGGTGCTGGAGAGCTGGAACAAAAACAGAAATCGCTGTAGAAACTCAGTAGGTCCGGCAGCACCCACAGAGAGAGAGCAGAGTTAACATTTCAAGTCCAGTGACCCTTCTTCAGAACAGACAGCAGCTAGGAACTTAAGAGATAGTAGGAACTGCAGATGCTGGAGAATCTGAGATAACAAGGTGTAGAGTTGGATGAATACAGCAGGCCAAGCAGCATCAGAGGAGAAGACTAGAAGAAGACATCTGATGCTGCTTGGCCTGCTGTGTTCATCCAGCTCTACATCTTGTTAGCCAGGAACTTAAATTCTTTTGTCTTCCAAAACACAACTATCATTACCATTGACAGAGATGATTAACAGTAAATTGATTACCCTAACCCCAGTGATCACGACTACCTACTTCCCAAGCCTGGTGGGATGAGGAGGAGCAGTACTATCAGTAAGCTGGAGCAGGGCCTGTGCAGTGCCACGTCCATCCTGAGCCTGAGACTAGGATTCTGCACCAACGCCTGAGCATCCTTTCAAAACTAACTCCCCCATCCCCACTTCCCGTCGCTAGGCGACCGTCACCAGGCGACCGCCGCGCCGACCTTCGCCAATGGGAAGGCCAAGCCGGATCCCCGACCCCTGACCCGGAACCTCATTTATTGACACCCAACGCACTGCCCTGCCTATCTAGCTGACACCCACGCCCCTTCCTTGGCGTGCGCGCTTTCTCTCAATAGTTCCGTCGGTTTCAAACGCCACATTAAATATAGACTTATACAGCGATAAAAGATAGCGACCGTCTGCATTCTCTCTCTCTCTCCCGCTCCGGCTACCGCCCGCACGAGGATCAATCACCGTGCAAGCAAAAAAAAACTTAGGAGCAATCGCACTTGATAGTTCGATGGGGCGGGGACGCACCAATGGAGCGCGGGGCGGAGTCGACGGACGTTCAGAGTTGCCAATAGGCTTTGTGGATGCGCGGGGTAGTCCACGCCTCCTCCTCAGGGGGCGGGGTCTGAAGCATCACGCTTGGTTGAGGGGGCGTTGCTGCCTGAAGATCAGGTGGTGGGTTTGCTGTCAGTTCGGCTAGGAGGTATAGTGTGTGTGTGTGTGTGTGGGGGATAATTTAAACATTTATTCCTGACTGAGGTACTCGGGTTTCTGTTTCGTCGATCCTAGGACTTCAGCAGCACAGGGAGAGGAACGCAAGGAGACAAAAAATATGCCCAAGGAGAAGAAATCCACAGGTGGGTATGTGTGTGTGCGCGCGCGCCTGTCGCTCTCTATCTGTCAGTGGGTCAGAGGAAAAAACGTCTCACCTCACCCTGTCACCAGGGTCTACTTCCCACCCTACCCTTTCACTTTACTAGCCGTGTAAAGGGTCCCCGGCTGCTCTGCTGAGACCAGGCTTTTCTGGTTGTCATAGGAGCAGACTAGGCCTTGAAGCGCCGCCTGTCAAAAGAAAGGAGCTGAAACACACACCTTTACACTGTCTGTATCGCTTGCGCTATCAACGACTCGTCTTCTTGTTCTTTTTGCCCCGATCTGTCTGCCAATGGACCGATTTCTTTGTCTTGCACGTAAAACTGGTGAGGGGGCGTAAAGCATTTTTCTTTTCTGTCAAACTGCACTACCATAAGTGTGGTATTTGTCCAAATTGTGCTTGCCTTTTCTGTTTTGTTAAGTGAAATGCAGTGAATCCAGTGGCTGTTTACCTGAATGATAACGTTACAGAATTTTTCCTATCTATGATTTGTGCCACTTTTGACGTCTATATCTTTGTGTCTGTGTTCTGGCAGGAAGGGGTGTCTGTCAACATTACCTCATGAATTAAGGACACCATGGGCTCAGATTATGGGAAAAGAAGGTTGTAACTGGGAGTTACACGGACTCTGAATAGACATTTAGTTGGGACTTCTAGTTCGGTCAATTTGAACGGATAGTATTAAATAAATAATGACAGTGCCTTTAATTGTGGTGTAATGCAGGTATGGGATATATGATGCACCATTACTAATTCACATCAGGGTTGGGAATATAAATAAGCTGTGAGGTCTTTATAATCCTCAGCAGTTTTCTAAGATTGTATTTCACTCTTCTCATCCTTTTGTTTTTGAGGCATTGCTGTTGTGCATTTTAAAAGCATTTTTCAATTCTTTGTGAATAATATGACACAAACTGTATCTGACTGATGTTTACCCTGGCGATATTCAAAATTGCATGATAGTTGAGATGTTATAGCATGTTCTTTTTCAGAGCAATTTCTTAACTTTTGTATCCAGACCAACTTGATTTATGTTTTTAAAAAAAAGGAGGCTGAGTTAAATTAGTAACCAAAATGCACAATGGCTGCAAGTAAGAATTGTCCAGCCCTGGATTTTGATTTTCTGAAGTCTATATTTCTGGCTACAGACTTAGTTACGGCTATTAGTTTGTTTTTGTGCGTAGCTGCACAATTTTGTAAACATTGTAAAATAAAGTGTGGACATCATGAACTCAGCTGATAGGAAAAAATGGGTTGTCATTGACAACTTTTACCTGTTTTGTTGACTTGGGACACATCTGTATCTGTCAACAAGGATGTTTATCTTTTGAAACACTAGAATAGAATTAAGCCAGTTATATGTGTAACATGCAAATTATGTAATGATCATTACTTATTATAAACATTGATAATTCTGAACAATCTTGCTTAGTGATGAGTAGAGAGTTGTTAGCATTGTAGGGACTTGCTTGCAGGTACTGTACTACAGCAATATCTTAAATGTAGAAATATTTCTTGCTGGCATGTTGCAACTTTGAAAGTAAAATGTTTTGACTTGGGTTGTAGTGTTATAAAATTCTGTTTGTCGCTATGACATTTTATTGACTCTGGTATTGAGTGTACCACTGAGCTCAGTTTTCTCCTGTGTCTAATCATGGCCTTGTCAACACTTGCTTTAGCCAGGTCTCACTGGAATTTGTGTTGATGTTGAAACTGGACACTGAACTACCATAAAGAAGAAGGTACAACCTCAATGTTACACTAAATCTACACTTGCCTCTATTTTCTGAGGTCAAGCAATATTGATAAAATGAAAGCCAATTCTGTTGGGTGGCTGTGAGATTCCTACATGGTTGATGTTAATCTAACGCCTATTTATACCAGGCCTCTGCCCAAACTGCAGCATTTCAGGTTTTGCATTCTGGGACACTCTGCATGTTTACTGTAGGGAAATTGAATGTCGTCTTTGTACTGTTCCGAGCCTACATTTAGAACTTAAGATATTTTGGAATATTACTGCTACTTGCATTTGAAATTTCTGATTTGGAACACTTTGTAATGTAGATGCTGAAATTGGGAAAATAACTGTGTCGCAGTATACATTTTATGTCTTGATCTGTGCAAAGAATTCAACTTTTGGTAAAGTAAAGGGAGAAGATAACTTAGTTGTAGAGGATTTCCAGCTAAGAGAAAGATGGATGCCCAGTTGTATTGTGTTATGAAGGAACTTGATAGAAAAATTAAGCATTTGTGGATGCATTGTTTTTCTTTGATGCAATTTACCCCCTTTCCTCCTCCTTATGGAGTTATGCCTGGTTCTGATAGTGCTGTATCTCCTTTGGGTTCTTGGAAGCTTTGATTGTAAGTGACTTTATGTATTACTGCACTTTTCATCATTGCTCAGGATAATCTGTCTTTATGTGATGTCCACATGCAAACTTCATTACTGATCTCAAGTAATGAAGTTTCCATTTTTGGCCAGTTATTTATCAATCATCACCAAAGGTCCACAGAAAGTGTTGTCAAAGGTGCCATCAGGTGGCACTTATACAGCAATAATCTGCTCACCAATGGTCAGTTTGGGTTCCATCTGGGTCACATTGCTGTAGATAGCATTGGCCCAAATATAGACAGAAAAGCTGAACTCCAGCAATGAGCTAAGAGTGACTGCTTTATCATCATTTGGCTGACTGTAGCATCAAGGATCCTTGGAAGAGAGAGAGAGGTGCACAAATATGTATGTGTATTTATGAAATGTCTAATGTATATGATAGAAGGATGGATTTGGACAGATACATGGCAAGTAACATTTGTGCCGGTAAATAATTATCTCCAAAGAGAAAGTCAAACTATCTCCCGATGACGTTCAGTGGCAGTGCCGTCATTTTAATTCCCCGTCCTCAACATTCTGGGATATGTATATATGCTCTTGATCAGAGACTTAACTGGATCAGCAATACTGTGTTGGGAATTCTGCAGCAACGAATTCACCTCTTATCTCCCCAGTGCCAGCCCATCATATATTAGGCACAAGTCAGGAGTGTGGTGGAATACTCTCCACTTGCCTGAATGGATGCCCGTGCAAATGACAGTCCAGAAGCTTGGCACCATTCAGGACAAAACAGCCCCCTTGATTGACACACCATCTACCCCTTCAACATTCAGTATTTTGCTATCACTGTGCATCGGTGCTGAATGTGTACTGTGTCTAAGATGCTCTGCAGTAATTTACCCAGACTCTTCCTCCATTACTACAGCTGCTACTACCTAGAAAGATAAGGGCAGCAGACACAAAGCAAATCACCATCTGCGAGTTATTACTGTTCCTTCATTTTCACGGACTCAAAATCCTGTAAGTTCCTTCTTTAAAGCGTTGTGGGCGCCTCAACACCTCAAGGATTGCAGTGATTCAAGAAGCAGTTCACTGCCATCTTCTTTTGGCAATTGGTGATGGGCAATCATCAAAAACAATATTTAAAAATCTGGAAATAGAGTGTTGTTATGAAGGTGTGTTATTCTTAAATGTTAATTTTAGAATAGCTTTGCATATATCTATATCTTGGACTTTTGGTAAAGAACACTTTGCAAAGCAAAGGGGACTGGCTATGGCAGAGAAAAATGTTGCACTTGCAAAGAACACAAGCTGCTGGACTACAGTCACTGAGGCTACAGTACTGTTTGGAGAGGACACACACCCGGTTTGTGGGTGTGACAAACAGTTAGAGGCAGCCTTTGCTGTCTATCTTGCCGTGAAACCTCTTTCATCATAGTTTGAGAGTTAAAAAACCCCTTTGGAAGACATCACCACAAGTTGTAAAATTTTGGGATAAGGGACCACAGTTAACTGATATAAGTAGTCAATCATTGTTAAGGAATTTACACATAGTTTTAAGTTTGTTAAACAGCATGTATATAACCTGTGACTGTTGAGGATGGCTCATTGTTTATCACTGGATGACCAGACAGCTGGCACGGTGTGTTATCTCATTAAACATGTGAAAGCAGCTTCCTGTTCATGAGCCGACATGTAAGGAAACTCTCCCTTGGGCCCTCGTCCTCCTTTTGTGGCCCATCTAAGGCAGACAACTACCTGCTGAGGACTGCATCTTACTCTGATCATTTGTTTATATATCCAATTTTTAGGGGATGATAGTTAACATTATGCCAATCATCTATTTGAATCCTTCTAGTTGATGAACAAGGGATGACTATTCAGAACATCCGAACAGCTGTGACCTTCTTGCCCAGTCCCTGCCTCTTCTCAAAGTCAGCTTACATTATGTGAGGGCAGACTTTTCTGTTTCTCCTAAACAATTTGGAGCTTGGGTGCTAGTGGTCTGGTAGTCTTCAACTTTAACTTGCTATTTGTCCTTTGGCAGAGGTTTGTTCATATTTGCAAATGTAGAGCAAGGTTCAAAACTGTCTTTGATAAATTTATTCAAAGTTTCAAACTTGGCAAAAGGAAAATGAGGGTCCCAATTTTTGTTTTTGCAAACTAGCAGGGAGTTTCCAAGAAGAAAGTTTTGAATCTAAATCACTGTCTCTAGACAAAAAAGAATTTAACAGCTGTACCTGATTCAAAAAGAAATCCCAGTGCCAATAGAATTATTTATTTTCTGAATTTAACTGTAACTTGACCAAAGTACTTTTAGGATAATACTCTGTAGAGTTTTATTCCAGACGTGGAGGTTGCATGTGTGCGTGCTTGCGTGTGAGAGTAGGTGGTACAGTTCGAAACCAGTGCTTCCTATGCTTTCCCACTGTGACCCTGTCATGAAGATTGAAATTTTTCGTCATTCCTCAAGAACAGCTGAGAGTAACATGGAGGGGCTATGCGAGCAGGGACCTATTAGAGTGGGACCATAGCTCTCAAAAGTTGATTGGAGCTCCACAGTGGCAATTACCATCTCAGGTTGAGAACCTAAAACTTTGACCCCACTTTGGGAAGTCCTGGTTTAAATCTCTTTGTTTGAGTAGGCCTTTTGTTTGTAATCAACTGTTCTTTATTTGTATAGGACCTTGGCTGACTTGTTCATGAGTCTGAGTTATGTGCAATGTGGCCTCCCCTTTTAAATTAAAATCTTGTTGTGAGGAGTGGGATAAAGAAAGGAATCACTTCACCCTCCTTGCTCAGTTATAACAATACATGTAGAAGAACTCTTTCGTGAACCACAGATTTAATATAGAAATCAAAATTATTGCAAATGTCCAAACCACCTGTTTGGTAATTCAAATATTTCTGGTAGTAATGTAGTGTTAGCTATACCTTGATACAGATAAGCGAACCCAATCGCATTTCTTGCAACACTGAGAGGGGGATGACTT